ACCCGCTTCATAGTTTTATGGCTTTCTAAATTAACAAGCAAAATAGTAAAAAGCAACAAAGACGATGCAAACTGCGTAGCATCAAGTCTTATAATCGCCATCATATAAAACTAACCTGTTTTATCTGAAACGGAACTTCCGATAGATGTAATGCCTTCCTTCACATTATCGAATGCTGCCCCTAAAATGAGGGAAATCTCAGACAGGAAAAAAACGGAAAGTAAACGAAGGAATTTAGAGTTAATAGTCCAGTGTAAAAGTATAATGGGCGAATAGTATCTATTCTTTAAAAAAGAATAAATGATAAAGCTCTCGGCGCTGATCAATCCCTGAGAGATGCGCCATGCATTCGCCTTCATTAAGTGTCGTTGGAGGTGACTAAATGCATATCTGGATTTTACAATAACCCGCAGTGGTCTACTGATGCATCGAGCCAGTGCTGCTATCCTTATAGAAAAGTCTGGCATGAACGCGCCGACCACGGAAGAATGCAAGGCTTGACAGGCCATGGCCGCGGGGATCGATTCCACGTGTGTGTCGCAATGGCGCCTCCAACCAGTGCGCCACACGCGCCCTTATCTATTTTTTAATGCCGCAAAATTAATAATGCAAATGTCAATAGAGTAAAACTAATATAACAAGATAAAAACACTTGTATTAAATGGGCAACGAATCTAGATACATACCGAACCAACCACCAACACTTTTCGCTGCTGATACAGTACCATCTTTCACCGATCCAGCCGCATCCGCTACAATTATTATAATAAAAGCAAGATACGGTGTTATAAAACCTACATAATTGTTTATGAAAACATACAACTAATGGTAATGAGCTTTCTCCAACTTCTTCTATAACTAAATCAAAAAGGAATGGCAAAACAAAAAGTAAATTATTCAAAACACTGGCAACGAGGCTAGAAGGATGGTTCGTCAGCACTTAGTGGTGTGTTGAAATTCACGACTATAAATAAAAGGATAAAGCTCTCGGCGCTGATCAATCCCTGAGAGATGCGCCATGTATTCGACTTCATTAAGCATCGTTTGGAGGTGACTGAATGCATATCTGACCTTTACAATGACTTGTGGTGGCCCACCTATATGCCGAGCCAGTGCTGCTGCTATCCACCCAGACAAGTTTGGTACCAATTTGCCGACCCCGGAGGGATGGAAGGCTTGGTGGGCCATGGGTGCGGGGATCGATTCCACGTGTGTTGCAGGGCGCCTTCTCCGAGCACTGCGCCACACGCGCCCTTACTACTCAGTGCTTGATACTTGATACTTGAACGACCCGTCGTCACTAGTTATGTAGGCCACAGTATAATCCCATTTTTCGGAGATTTGATGGTTAATCCATTGTGGTTCCCTGAAACCCCGAGGACAGCCTAGTCAAAGTCTGCCCCTTACCATTCAATGGTGTGTTGAAATTCACGACTATAAACAAATATATGTACATCCTAACAATATCTACGATCAAAGTACCAGGTATAAAAAGTCTTAAAGAAATCTTTTGACATTCCCAACAAAAAATTAGTTCAGTGATAAATAGTAATCCTATCACCACTGAGCAGTCCTATACAAACTCACAGACGGCTTCTCCTGTGTCATGAGCCACATCGACCACCGCTTCAGCCGCTGCGCCGACTCCTTCGACTAAAACAAAGCCAGTACAATTGTTAAATTTTTATATAATTTTTTGTATACAATGATAAAGCACGTAAGTTAGTAAACTATTTTTTTTCTCTCTCCTTAGACAAATCAAAGTTGCACGCCCCATGCACGATGTAAACACTGACTGGTTGTGTTCTGTATTTATTTATTTATTTTATTCGATCCGTCTTCACGTCTACTATGCGGTGCCCAGCACTTCTGAAATCCAATTCGTTTCCTCGCATTCATCGTCCACGAAGGTCTTCCAACTTTTGGGTGTGGCTTCGGTTGCTGCTTGAGGAATTTCATTTCATCTTAAATGTCGTAGAATGCTGGTCGAGCAATTCTCCCTGGAGTTCTGAGATAGCAAGACTCCAGCGTTCCCCACTGAACTGAAAAGAGTGATTTTTCCCAGAAAAATCGAGAGACTTGGTTGGCTTGGAGCGGGATCGAACTAGTACCATGATCGTAATGACGGACACCACTACCATTGTGCTAACGGACCATTCTGTATTTTCTGACATAAACAAAGGTCTAATCACATAAGTTTGAGACATGTGATGTAAAAAGACAATAGCTAATAAGATTTGTATAAAAAACAGAGAGCAGATACAGGAATATGTAAGGAAACAGCTCGACACCGTCTGGCACTTCATTCAAAGAAGCAAGCCGGCTTCCAGCATTCTAACTCAGAACCCAGTGTCGTGACTTCATCCGATAATTACAGATTGCAAACTAACTGTAGTATCATAGAAAAACGATTTCTATTGCTCGACTCTCAGTCAGAGTTTCTCAAAGGATGAAAGGATGGATGTTAAGGGATGAGTACCTATATATTACAGAATTTTTAAATACGTGACATCACAGCACAGATCCACTTTCAAGAGTTGGGTGGAGATACATCAACGACTAACCAACTAACTAGAACTACACGCTATCTGATATTCATTTGTAATTCCACCAATGAACTCCTACATATACGGACGTATTGGCCATTACAATACTAGTGTCTCGTCCGTGGCCACCACACTAAAATGTCAGACAAACCTACCTAAAGTTTTTTGTTTTAGATCGAGAACAAGAAAGAACCAAAAGATAAAGATAGTCAAACATCATCCATGTTCCAAATGTTCTCCTTTTTCTATTGAAGTCTACACCTACTTAACACAAAATCAAAATAGTCACTATTATACGGAAACAGAGCTCGCTCACCTCCCCATTGAACAGCATCTGCTGCTGCGTCTTTAACGGTAGTACCGGCGCTGCCTGAACATAACTTTCTTTGTAGATAATAGTCTCCTTACAATTCTTTACTTTTCACAGTGTTTCATGAGACATAATTCAGATTGAAAATCAACTTAACATTTAGTTGGTGATTACTCAATATGCACATCTCTTTATTGACATATTTTTCTGCAGAATCACGAGAAATGAAACTCTTAAAGTACTAGTGCATCTCATTCTGTTGTTCTCAAATTAAGAAAAGGCGTCAAGTAAACTGTTGGCTGAACTACCTAAAGCTTCTCCAGTTTTCTGTAGGCCGTGAGCAGCATAGTCTTTTGCCGCAGTTGCAGCGTTTCCTACAAAGATATCGAATATATATTGTAACAGATAGAATTTACGACAAAGCACTAGAAAACGATGCTATAGTAACCGTTACCATTCCATGAACACAAACCAAAGCTTCTCGAAAAATCGAAAACTACTACTGTAAACCAACTTTCTGATTAAAGGATAAAAGGATAAAGCTCTCGGTACTAATTAATCCCTGAAAGATGCGCAATGCATTCGACTTCACTACGCATTATTGGAGGTGATTGAATGCATATCTTGCCTCTACAATGACTCGCAGTGGCCTACCGATGTATCGAGGCAGTGCTATTATCCTCTCAGACAAGTTCGGTACCAATTTGCCGACACCGGAGCGATGGAAGGCTTGCTGGGCCATGGGCGCGGGGATCGATTCCACGTGTGTTTCTCAGTGGTGCCTCCAACCACTGCACCACACGCTCCCTATTTGTAAAATGTAATAAACATAACTACCTAAAACACGAATGCCTTCAACGTACCTAGCTGCAACCCTTTCACCAACTTCTGCTAACGTGATGCGAAAAAATATCCCTATCATTTCCGCGTTGGCCAATGGAAAAATCGACCGTTCTAGGGAGCCCAGAAGAAATGACATCACAGTGCCAAACATATGGTACAATATGTTTTTCCAAGTCCAACAACAACAAAATCTGAGTCTAATACCTCTGGTGTGGATCAATTCTCTAAGTAGAAGACGCCGAGATTTTTAAGCATGAAGTCATAGAGTAAATACCTATCGTTGGCACTAACGATCGATTTCATATGTGTATGTGTATGTGTGTGTATGTATGTATGTGTGTGTTGCAGGGCGCCTCCGACCACTGCGCCACGTGCCACCTACTTTTTGATTAATGTGTTTTATCTCATTGATAAGGGAACACGAGGTCGTTTCGAAATTTTATCCGTATAAATGTTTGCTAACAGTCGAATACTACCTTGGATCGAGTAGAAAACTGTAAACATTTTTTGTTGTTGTAGACTTCTAATAAACAAACAGACGAACGCTCATCGACAATCATAATTAGCCAAAACTATACAGCTATGGGCCGTATTGGATCACAATGAATGCAAAATTCAAAAAAATTCAATAAGAGGAAAATGGAAAAACTCACCAACTGTGTCAACAACGCCCTCAGCAGCATTTTGAGTCACATCGGCGACCTTACCGCCGGCTTGTTCTGGAAAAAATGACAAAGTTCTGAGAACTACGAAATGATCTCATGCAACTTCAAATTTAATGCTGAAAACTTCAATAAATGCGATAAGCATTATGCAGAATGCCAAACACATGCACACTCGTTTACAGAGATGGATTTCGAAACCCTTCATGCTAGTTACCGAGTCGTCCAGCAGTCGCATGGAATTGCTGCCTCACATTGGTGGCGAAAGTTGCTAATAAACATAATATTACAGAGATTTTTTAGTTGGATTCATTGAGACCACAACAGTTTATTCGTCTTTCAAAGCAAAATACAGTAGCGTTTCAAATGAACTACGTAGGAATCTACAACTGCGTAAAAACGTCCATCTCATCGTTTGCAATTCGAAGCGTGCATCAAAATGTGATCATCAGGCCACTGATAACGGTTCGATGATATCAAGAAAACATTCTATAACATAGACAATCTTCTTTGTCTGTTGAAACAAATTTCATTTTTACATCTCTACACCACCAATAGAAAGTTCTATCCTTTACGCAAAAAACATCCTTTCCACTGATTGCACTCTGTAGTTTTTATCTCTCTGCTGTAAATGAGGGCTCAGTCACCCGTGTTTGGGGAACAGGGTGTGCATCTACCAATCGAATGGCCCACGAAGTGCAAGTGAACGAAAGCGGACATAAGCGAGCAGCCTAACATCATGTTGCACTTCATTAAAAGGACAACCTCAGCGTCCAGCACTTTTGTTCAAAACCCGACATTCTGGACTCAACTGGGGACTATGGCCTGTATCTATACTGTATTACCTTAACACTGGAATTTGAATTTCTGGACGCTTGCTCACAGCTTCCCAAACATAGGGCATCTGTTCATAATAAATCTTCCAGTCAGTCGACATATCAATTGGTCCACCTTCGAAGGTCGAGCAAATACGCCCCAACGACTGATCAACTAACTAGCCTTACGCTACCCTACTTCAGAACTTATTCTGTCAAGTGATAAGTCTACTTGTGAAGTGCCACAGTGATGTCCTCAAGTTTTTGCATTCCGAGAGATACATATTGCCTTAGATTTTGGTAATTAGGTGTCACATCCAAATATTACTAGACAACAAATGGCGCTTTTCGAGAGAGTATACAAGGTAATGCGGAGTTGTCAACGCTTAATGCGAATTGCGATAACAGTGAGATGGACTTAAAATATCTACTCTTTTAAGCACTAGAAGTGAAGCACATAGCTAATAGGTCTAACTATGTTAGATTCGCAAACTCTCACCGAGCACTTCGCCAACGTCTTTGCCTGTTCTATACATGTAGTGCTCGACTACACCAGCCGCGTTCACTGAAACGATTTTCACTGACCCTTCGCAGTCTCTGAAGTTTGTTGGTGTCGACGACGTAATTGCCGCTGTATAATCGGAACCGGCCCGAAACTCCTTACTCCTACTGCCAGGATCCTCATCGCGCGGTACAAGCTGCGGGATACAACCGTTATTGTATACTGGCTTTGTAGAAGTTAGGGGTGGGCGACATGTGACCCGTTGAGTTTGTGGGATAATGTTATAGACCACTTTGCATTTGCCTGTCAAAGGCGGATATGTAGGAGTGTGCCGCTGCTGAATACAGTTGCTTCTTCGCTGAAACTGTGGAGTGGGAGAAACTGATGGCATAGCAGGTCTACAAATTCGTTTAGAAACACGAATCAACGGCGGCTGAGTGGGAGTTCGCTGACGGCAATTGTTTCGCTGTCCTGCACTTTGTGGTTGACGTGGCAAGCAATTCCGTCTGGTTTGGAAAACTGGAACGGGCTGACCAGGAATCAAAACCGGACGTTGACCATCATCGTGCTGCTGACTGCGTAACCATTCCTGATACTCGCTCTCGTACGCTCGCTTATTATCATGTGAGTCATGTGAGTTACCAATCGATTGATAAAAACCATTCAACGGATCGTACTGGTTGATCGGCCATTTGCCGTTGTCGGGCTGCACATGCTGTCTTCTCGATCTATCTACTAGACTCTGCAATCTAGCCTCTATTCGGAAAGGAGGTGCTGCTGCAAGCATGGGATTTAGGTGTACTGAATGATTATGATATATTCTTAATTCATGCGTCTTTTTTTTCGGTAGAAGCATCAATAATTGGTTAGCGTTATGGAACCAAACGATCATTTTACAGCCAATCCGAAAAGAAAGAAACGGAAAACACATTGGACTGAAACGAAAACACCAATATTCACTACTCACTACACAACGCATAGCAACACAAACTGACATCTCAAGCATAGGCTATATTTTATGGTTACGAAAAAACGCATGATGTAAAAGCTTCTAAGGCTATAACGCTATGCGAACAACACAATTAGAAATAACATTAAAATAGAGTTTGTTAAAGGTCACATGTATCATAATGTTCATTAAAATCTATGGAAAGTAGGACAATATGCTATTTTTGTTGTCGGATGATAGCAAAATCAAAAAAAAACTACTTTTGCCCCGGCTTTGCCTAAACATGCGAAACATTTGTCCCACCTTCTACCCTGGCAGTAAAATAACTATCCATTTTTCAGAAGGGATTTTAAAGTGGAACAAAACATAAACAGAATCAGTGTAATATTCGGTATATCCATAGGATTTTCCGTAGATTACATACTGAATCTAAACGTTCACATTTCAAGAAACAAACACAATAAATTAGTGCACACTTGGCCTGCAGAAAAAAAATCACAAAAACCATGAAAGGATGGAAAATTGGTGGATACTATAGGGAGCGGCCGATGTGCTGTGTGTGCTAACAATCTGTGCAGATCCCTCTGTGCTAACAATAAGCTGAGCTGCAACTCCTTTCCTATTCAGGAATTCTGCCTTCCAGCTTGTATTTACCACATTATTTGAAGTGATTCTGCATGAAATTTTCACTCAACTCTCGCCAACTTCGTGCACCCAAAATAAACCAGCTAATGGATCAAATAATAAATTTTTATTGCGTTTTCAAGACGATACTTCTAGAGCTAGTCACAGGTTATTTAAGCTTCTCATTCTTCCCGAGTTAAAAGCTGACACAAGAGTTATCCGGAAAAACTTTCTTCTGATCCACAACACTTTGACCTAGCAATCCCTAAATCCCATCAAGAGTAAATTTGACTAGCATTCAAGGATATTCATGTCATTCTCAAATGGCAACCGAACACAAGCGCAAAGTCCGAAGCCCTTTAATGGGTACAAACGCAACAGAGCGAATCAAATGGAGGAATGTTGATATCCACATAATATGCGAACACGGCTCATATAAGTACAAGAAGAAAAGCAGAACGAAACTGAGTTAAACTGAGTTAACAAGTTAAAAACAGCTGCATAACAATATGCTTCACAGCTTCGTGACTTCGTGACAGTACCGTAACTGTCTTCTTCTACAAATAGTTGCAACTGTGGCTTTAATCCCCCCTCCACTCTCTTCTCTCTTCCCGTACTGAGTGCGGACAATACCGATTTCTTCTGCTTAGTTTCTTTCACCCTCCAACTTCCATAAGAACGAAAAAAATGAAAACGGACGAAACAGGTGATATTTCAGAATCCCTCTGTTAATAATAGTATTCAGTAGCTGCGATTATAACCAACTATTCGCGGACTCCACATCAGCACAAAGCCATACAAACACTGACGTAATCCAGTCGATAGAGCCAGCAATTACGGGTTTTCTGCAAATGTCCTCATATGTTCATTCACGTCCTTCCACATAAATACTTCAGGAAATCGAGCACAGGAAACGCTATGAAATCTTGTTTACTTGAGTTGAAAACTTATTTGTCAGGACCAGGGTGTACTATAATTTCCATCCAGATGAACCAATATGAACTCCTTTGTTCAACAAAAGCCTGATTCCCATCCAGAAATCTCACAGTAGCACTTCTACAGTGAAGAATTGTTGAGCTCGATCTTCATGAAGGTCAGCAACATGGTTATTCGAAAGACTTAAGATTTTATTAGAAGGATAAACTATTACGCTTCCTGCGTCGACCAATTAGTGGAGTATACCCCATGAATTCTGCTTCATTCGTAGCATCATAGAGTTAACTTGATTTTTGGTGGTATCCTGTAAAACGTAAGTATTTTTGTAGTTCTAGGCTGGTCTCGTACAAGTTTGCCAACCCCGCAAGAACAAAGGGTTTGGTCACCTCAGGGTGAGGATCGAACTAAGATTCAAGTGTTCATTACACGACCCTCTAATCACTAAGCTACACGCGTCCTGCTATCTTATTATAATTAATAGACTGGCATACAGCACAGTGCTCTGGACCATTAATGAGCTCATATCATCATATAAATTACTAAAAATTTTATTAATTAAACTAATAATAATGGTTAATAATAATTCCTCCCAATGGTTTACTGCCTCATCGTGGCTGGGAGGTCTTCCTGCGTGTCGGACTGCGATGCACACCGAGGGAATTCATCTCCCTGGCAGTGTCTGCCAAGCTGAGAAGAAGTCCGGCGTTTCCATCAGGAAGCTTAACTAAGAGTGAGCCAATACCAGGATCCACCACCGTCCTAGTAACTAACTAGACGCATGGTGGCAGACCTCCCTCTGATCCACAAGAACGGCAATGTCTGCCTGGGGTAGTGGCGACCTTGGACAGACTATGGCAAGGCTGACCTCGGGACTCCAGTGAAACACAATGGCTAGAGCAGCAAAACTCCGAAAAATGGAGATTATGCTAGGGCCTGCACAACCAGTGAGGACGATCCGTTCAATTATCAACTAAGTAAGTAGACATCTTATTAAGCCTCATGGATAACTAAGTTGCAGCTGCAGCTGTTTCTGAAGTAACTGTTTCCTATAACCTAGGAAAAGACATAAGGGGTTCGGCAATCATTCCATTTAAAAAACTTTCATAGTCCAACAGTATCATCACTAAACCTTGACGAATTTATCTATTTCAGAGAAAAAGTGCACGTCGTTTAGCGACGGACGTAATATTAATGACAATGTGGTTCAACTCTCAGATAAGGAAATGGTTTTGATCAACGTTTCAAGGAGATAAAATTCCGTTAAGCATCATAGTTCGTGATGAAACTTACTTGAGCAACAGAGTAATTCTAGCAGTCGATGTGTTGCCGACGACATGTTGTTGTGATGAAGCGGAACACATAAATGTATATACAGGACAATGAGCGCGAATCGCTAGTTCGATCGAGGTGATGACGGGTCTGGTATGGAAGAGTCAGAGCTGGTAGAGCGACAGCTTTATCGTCAGCGGCAGTGAGCAGGAAGCAGCTGTAACTCGGCACAACGGAATGAAATTGTTTTGACAGGATGGTTCCGTCGACGATCGAATAACGCCGTACGTCAACCAAGACAGGACTTGCTCTTGATGCTCTGGCAGTCGATGCTCTGAATGGCTTCTAGTGACGAGCGTATTGCTGCTTCACTAATGAAAACATGCAGGTTCTCGATAACATAACAACACTGACGATCGACAGCAAAGGCGTGGCCAAATGAGAGACAATCGTAGAGGCCTCTAGTACTCGAATGATGAACTTTATTAGGCATAGCAGAATTGATTAAATGCATATTGTAGCCAAAAAATTACCTGGTAGGGTCATACTGACGTATCAAGTCAGTGTTTTTCATTCTCTCAGATAAGTCCGGAAGCAATTGCTCGACCCCGACGGAATCGCGGAGTTGGTTGGTCTCAGATGTCTAGCGAATAACCATGTGTGTACTGCAGAGCATTCCTAACACTGCGCTACATGAGCCTCGAAGTAGAACGCATTATAGAAAGAAACGTGGGTGAAACTAAAAAAAACCAGCTGGGAACCTTGTAAGTGACTTTTTAGCATGACCCATCTTCAAATAAACTGTGCTGATCCTAGAAATTCTTGCATCCGATTCGTTTCCTTGTACTCATCATTCACGAACGTTTTCGAACATCTGGCATGATAGCAAGCTTGATGGGAGGAAGGAGGGTCGAGCCAGTACCTTGCTAAGCTGAGCCGTCCACATAATGAACGAGATCACTACCGCCGCGTTACCAGTTCCGTAATTCCAATATTGACATTTATTATATCAGAACTTTTTACGTAATCACATCACATCTACTGTGCGGATACCAGCACTTCTTGCATTCGATTCGTTTTGCTTGCCGCATTCATCGTCCACAATGGTCTTCGAACACTGCACGGGTTGTTTCGTCTGCTGCTTAAGGATTTCGTCTTCTTTATGAATGTTGTAAAATGCTGATCGAGTCAATTCACCTTGCAATCTTAAAGATAGCTGGGTAAGGTGTTCCCACGCGTACTGGAGTTGAACGCTGGGACGGGGATCGAACTAGCGCCTCTGCTTCTTAGTCAACGGCATCACTAACCACTACGCTACCCGTGCCCCTATATCAAAATTGCGCAATATGAACATAACTTAATGATCAGTACCTAGTTTAAAAGGTAGTCGGAACTAGGATTTGCTTATAAAGAAAACAGTAAATATAGCATATCATGGCTTTAATTTTTACTAGGCACGCGTAACAGAAATCAAAATACGAATGTACGATCGGCTATCACTCCGCACTCTATTTGTTTTTTAATTTTATTTCACATGACCCGTCTTCACGTCTACTGTGCGGAACACAGCACTTCTCACATTCAATTCGTTTTCTCGAATCCACCATCCCCGAAGACCTTCCAACTGTTACGTGTGGCTTCTCGGCCGCTGCTTGAGGATTTTAATTTCATCTTGAATGTCTTGGAATGCTGGTCAAGTCAATTCTCCTTGGACTTCTTAGATAGCCAGGCTAGAACGTTCCCAATTAGATTGCAGAGAGTGGACTTTTCCCGTACAAATCCGGTACTAATTTCTCGACTCGGAATGATAAGAAGGTCGGTTGCACTGGTTCGGAATCGAACTAGTACCGTGCTAGTGACGACCGATATCACTACCACTATGCTATCTCCCCACCAAACATTAAACACTCTAGACACAAATGCTAGTTCCTGGATTATACTACGAAATTTCGAATTCTCCAAAAGTAGTTGCAAACAACTGGATCATTTTTTAAGTCTTAAAAAAGCTTGGAAAACCTCTCGATGTACTATATATGTATATATATATTTTTTAAACCTTTATAGCTCCATATTCAGGTACGAGTTTTCACCAGCAAAAAGATTAAATATTGAACAGGATGACGCAAGGATTTAGAATACGCGATATGAAAATT